TTTTTTTTTTGAGACGGAGTTTCGCTCTTGTTACCCAGGTTGGAGTGCAATGGCGCGATCTCGGCTCACTGCAACCTCCGCCTCCTGGGTTCAGGCAATTCTCCTGCCTCAGCCTCCCGAGTAGCTGGGATTACAGGCACGCGCCACCATGCCCAGCTAATTTTTTGTATTTTTAGTAGAGACGGGGTTTCACCATGTTGACCAGGATGGTCTCAATCTCTTGACCTCGTGATCCACCTGCCTCGGCCTCCCAAAGTGCTGGGATTATAGGCTTGAGGCACCGCGCCTGGCCTATTTCTTACTCTTACTCATCCACACATGACTCATTGGTCCTTGATTTAAACTTGTGCATTAGCGTTGCTCTGAATTGCGTCTTCTTTCTCCGGGAAGCTGAATCTCTTACTCTGTTTTGACTTGGCCCTTGACTCCCTCTAAAGTCCGTAGCTGGCTCTGTATGGTTATAACCATAGCTCCTTAGGCTGGGGATTTGGACGCTTTGTGGTCTCTGTTTCCAGCCTTAGCCCTAACCACCCACTTCCTGCTGCTCCTGTCAAATACACGTACTTACGCTTTTCCACACGTGTCTCAAGCCTTCCTATAGAGACTATGGGTCTTTGCTGACCCTATTTCCTTTCTTCAGGGTGAGCTCAAAATTACCACATCAGTTTTGAAACTTGCTTTAATTTCTCCTACCAGGAAGAATTTATTCCTTCTTGGCAATATTGTGTATTTAATGATGTTTTACCTTTTTGCACTTTGTGTTATAGTTATTTGCATTATGTCTTGTCACCCCTGCTAGACTGTAAGATGATTTTATCCATATCCCATAGTGTCCTATACATACAGGTTCTCAGTAAAATTTTGTAGTTGAATGGAGTGGAGACCCAGACTTTAGATAGTAACTGGGAACAACAAGATCAAATGTCTTGTCTGTCCTTATCTAATAAACTTCTCCCGCGTTCCCTGTAGGCTTTGATCTATCATAGCCCTTTTTGTGCTCACCTATCACAGAACCTACCCTGCCCTTGTTCCTACGTGCAGTATTATTTGTTATGCTGGACTCCTTTGAGTGTTAAATAAATCAGTAAATCTTCAAAGCTAATCATAGCAGCTGGGACGCAGTGGCTCATGCCTGTAATCCTGGCACTTTGGGAGGCACAGGCGGCAGATCACTTGAGCTCAACAGTTCAAGACCAGCCTGGCCAATATGGTGCAACCCCATCTATACCAAAAATATTAATAAAATTAGCTGAGTGTGCTGGCGTGCGCTTGTAATCCCAGCTATTTGGGAGACTGAGGCAGGAGAATTGTTTGAACCTGGGGTTGGAGGGTGGGGAGTGGAGGTTGCAGCCAGGTGAGATCATGCCACTGCACTCCAGCCTGGGTGACAGAGCAAGACTCTGTCTCAAAATAAGTAAATAAATATATAAAAATAAAGCTAACCATAGCAACTTTATAAGATTTTAAAGAAATATCCCCCATCACTGGGGCATGGTGGCTCACGCTTGTAATCCCAGCACTTTGGGAGACTGAGGCAGGTGGATCACCTGTAGTCAGGAGTTCAAGACCAGCCTGGCCAACATAGCGAAACCTCGTTTCTACTAAAAATACAAAAACTTGTCGGGCATGGGGCGGGTGCCTGTAATACCAGCTACTCAGTAGGCTGAGGCAGGAGAATCACTTGAACCTGGGAGACGGAGGTTGCAGTGAGCCAAAAATCACACCATTGCACTCCAGCCTGGGTGACAGAGCAAGATTCTATCTCAAAAAAGAAAAAGGAAAGACTCCCATTAGGGATTGTACCAAGAGAATATAGAAATACCTACCTAGTCCTAGAACTGAGGTACAGGTGGACTCTCTTGGCATTTCTGTAGAGGACCCACAAAACCTCTAGTATCAGTGACAAAGCCAGGCTCCTCCAAAGGGGAAAAGCCACTTTGGTAGTGTGAGGAGGAGGCAGTGAGAGTCTTGGGTTAGTTTTGAAGTCTTGGTCCCTCCTGCTCAGGAGGAGCAGCGTGCTCCTGCTGGATATAGCGTTGCCCTCGGAGGTTAGAAACCACTGTCAATAAATCACCTCCTGCCTCTTACGTAACAGCCACTTCACCCGTTTTTATGCTGTTTAATTTTTCAAAACAACCTTTTTGGATTATCATTATTCCCACTTTTATAGATGAAGAACTGGAGATTCAAAGATTCATTCAGGAAGCAACAATGTGTACGTTGGGGTCAGGCTGACTGTTTCTCTTCCTACCAGTCTGGAGTTTAAACCTTGCTCTCCCTTGACTAGCCTTGCTGGATTTCCTCTGACTTTTCTTACCTCTTTGCTTCTAAAGATGATCCCTGATTCCCACATTTCTGGTTCCTGTTCTGTGTGGTGACCCTGCTGTTTGCTGCCCACACCTGCTGCGAGTGCGGCTGAGTGAGGGAATCCAACCTACTGAACGGGAAGCCTACCAAGTTTTCCAAGCAGAGCCTTTTCTTACAGTCAGTTAAAGGTTCGCTCTGGCCATCCCTTTTTAAACCATGGTACAAAATTTTGTAGAGAGTATCTTCTATTTCTAGCCTTTCCTCATTTTCTGCTTTACTGGATTTTAAATCTGTGCACCTCTCCCTCAGTTTCAGGCCTCTTTGGTTGTAGAACTGTCTGTCATTTTCCGGCCCTCGCCTTCCTGTGAGAAGACTATGTTTTATTTATCAAGATAGTAGTTTCAATTCTCTTAGAGCTTGGGGCTTTAATAATTGAGTTATTTTAAAAAATCTTTTTTTTTTTTTTTTTTGAGATGGAGTTTCGCTGTTGTTACCCAGGCTGGAGTGCAGTGAGTGGCATGATCTCGGCTCACCGCGACCTCCGCCTTCTGGGTTCAAGCAATTCTCCTGCCTCAGCCTCTCGAGTAGCTGGGACTACAGGTGCGCACCACCATGCCCAGCTAATTTTTGTATTTTTATTAGAGACAGAGTTTCATCATGTTGGCCAGGATGGTCTCGATCTCTTGACCTCGTAGTCTTCCCATAGCACTCAGCCTCCCAAAATGCTAGGATTACAGGCGTGAGCCACTGCACCTGGTCAAGAAACTATATTCTTTAAGTTATTATAACATTTAAATATATAAGTAAAATGCCATAATATATCATAATACTGTTTTTCTTTGTGATGTATACAGTTCTCTATGACCTGTATCTTACACTGTATACACAAAGCCTCCTGAGTACATATATAATGTGGGTCTGAGAACATATTTCACAGTTGATTATTTAAAAGTCAGATAATGGACGTAAAGGGGTGGGGAGGTTGCTAAGGAAGTTTCTGTAAGGCTAAGAAAAGATGATAAAATTTCTTATTACTGGTTCATGCACAGTTAAGCAACCCAGCAGGTGAAGGAAAATGTCCAGATGACTTGGATTTTTATTTGTTTATTTGTTTTGGCAAGGGACCATCGGCTCTGAATATTAGGCAGGTCAACCCAGGCATCTTCCTTTCCCACAAACCCACCAACTCTGTTATCTGGAACTTAATGCATACATAATCTAATACAGTATCCTCCCATGTGGCTAAGCTTTTCTCCTATTACTATTCATCAAACAGACGAATGACTCTCTAAGTGTGATCCCCAAACCAGCGGCATTGGCATCTTGAATCTCAGACGTTAAGGAGCATCACAGTCACTTGGCCGCCTTATTAAAAACAAAGCTTGCTGGACCCCATCCTCAAGAGTCTGTGATTCAGTGGGTCTTGAGTAGAGCTTGAGAATTTGCATTTCTGTTAAGTTCTGAGATAATATGGTTGCCGGTCTGGGACTACAGTCCAGGAAACACTGAAAACAGACTTTCAGTCTGCTTTCACCTTTGATTTATGAGTCCCTCTTTGCCATATACAGTCATAGCATATGTTTTGTATAGATGATATATAAATTGATAAACTTTCATTTTTCATTCAGAATTCTGTATGCTTGTTATCGAGAATTGATTTTCATGTCACTCTTCCGTGAACGGACTCTTTCTGTTTTCTAACTTGATCTCTTTCACATGAGCAAGCTATTGATTTGGCTGTATTTAACTAGGCATTGGATTGAACTTTCTTACTAATTATTAATCTTGTAGCTCTTTGGTTGATTCTTCGGCCTGTCTAGGTAAGCAGCCATAGTGTTTCTGGGTTTCCTCTTTGAGCCATTCCTAAAATGGCTGTCTGTGAAATGCCTTTCATATCTGTTAGCATGTTGCTTTTTTCTCCTCCTTTTTTTTTGTTATTGTGGTTGTGTCTCGTGTCTGTACTCTTTGTTTTTATGCAGTCTCAAATGTCCTGTTTGTGTCTCCAAAGTAGTTGTAGTTTTTACTCATATACTTTAAAATGCACTTTTTGGAAATCGTAAGCAGCGCTTCAGTGAAGATGCAGAACAGTTAAACCACATACCAGAATCTTCTCCTTATCTCTTTCTAATCAAACTGTCTTCTCACTGCAAGTCCTGGCAATCACGAATTTGTTTTCTCTTCCTTTGGTTTTGCCCTTCCAGATGTCACATAAATGGAATCCTGTGGTATGTAGCCTGATGGGATTCAGAACACACCATCCCAAAATATGGCACTTTGCATATTGAATATTTTAGCTGAAGGAATTTAATAAATGGCAGGTACGGAAAGGACTCTCTGACCTTCCTCTGAAGAAAGTCGTGAGACATGTCATGTGAGTGGTGCTCTTTCTGCACCTGGAGGGGGAAGGGACATTCCTGTCTCCAAAGGCAGAGGGACACTAAGGAATCCAAATGAACACCACAGGCCTTGTGGTTTCTCCCAGTTTCCTCACTCCATTTAGCTCATACCGTTTGTTCTGTCGCATTTTTTCTCAACCTCCCACTCTCCATCAAACCTAGCATAAAAACACCCAGGTTTAGCTGTTTCCTTCCATCTGCATTTCCTTATGAAGACTCCCATATCCCACAACACTTCTGGTAAACAGATATGTTTTGCTTTTCTCTCTTAAAATCTTTTGTTAATCTAATTTACAGGACCCAGCCAGAGAACCTGGGAGGGTAAGTGAAAAGGATATTTTTTTCTTCCCCTGCAGGCTCTTTCAGTCTGGCTTCTTTCATTTAGCGATATCTTTGGTTTCATCCGTACTGCTGCATGCTTCTTCCTTTTCATTGCTGCATGCTGTTCCATTGTCTGAATGTACCACAGTGTTTTCAATCTGTGGATCACTTGAAGCATCCTACATTGCTTCCGGTTTGGGGCTATCATGAATGAAGCTGCTATAAACATTCACATACAGATTCTTAGGAGAACATGTTCAGTGTTGTTTCTGATTTTCCCACCAGGTTTTCCATTTTCACGTAGTCTCTACTTACTGGGATGTGTTCTTTTCTCTAATTCCTAGAGTCAGTGTCCTTTTGCGTGTTGTTAAGAACAAGACTCAAAACTAAAAATAAGTCTTTTATTTTTGACATACATTTCATACTGATAAGAATTAGTATTTTTTTGGTACTTTGATTTTTGTTCTCTTTCACTGCTGAAACTTTTGTATGCTCTGAGATAATTTTTCTTTGCTCATCCGTTGGAAGAGAGAAAGCTACAGTCACTTTTGAGGTATAGATAAAATTAGGTACTTTCAGTACCGCTCTTGAGTTCTGACAGATTGGTCCCAGGGCCCATCTATAAGTCTTCCAAGTAGACCTTTCCATATCCATGTCAAAGGAAATAACTAAACTCTCAGTAGGTGGCTGGTTGGGAGACGGAGCAGTGGGGAATTTGAGCTCCCTGCTGGTCACCTTCTCTCACACATTGTCTTTCCAGTTGTTGCATTTTAGTTGACACGTGTAACTAGTTCCAGGCAGATGCCCCTTCCCCACATATGGTAGGCAGAACCCAAAAATGGTTCCCAAGATCCTTACCTTCTGCTCTACATACCTTGTGTTGTTCCCTCCTCTTGAATGTGGGGGGAGCCTGTGAATATAATGGGCTGTTTCTCCAGTGTTATATAGCCACACATGGCTGCTGAACATTTTTAAAGGAGGCTAGAATGACTGAGCAACCGAATGTTTCCTTTAATTAATTTAAAACTACATAGCCACATGTGGCTAGTGGCAGCTCTAGTTAATAATGTGCTTGCTGAAGTATTTGGGGTGACGTGTCTTGATATATGTATGCATCTGTCTTTGAAATGCATATTCACCAACAATGGATAGTTGTATGGTGAAGCAAATATAGTACGATGTTTATCATAGAATCAAGGTGGTGGGTATATGGGGTTCACTGTAAAATTATTTCCACTTTTTCTGTATATTTAAAATGTTTTATAATAACATGATGGGAGGAAACCTTTTGATGGATGTTACTGAAAAAAATAATCATACCCAGTAAAGAAAAATCTAGGACCAGATGGCGTCACTGGTGAATTCTAGCAAATATTTAAAGAATTAACACCATTCCTTTTCAAATTCATCTAAAAAGTAGAAGAGAACACTTTCTAACTCATTCTCTGAGGCCAGCATACCAAAGCTAGATAAAGATATCAGAAGAAAGAAAATTATAGGCTGATAGCCCTTATGAATATAGATATAAAAATATTAGCAAATCAAATTCAATAGCATATTAAAAGGATTTTGCACCCATCATCAAGTGGGATTTATCCAAGGAATACAAAGGTACTTCCACATAACAAAAGCCAGTCAATATGATATACCACATTAACGTTTTGTAATATTTTGTTACATTAACAAAAGCAAAAACAGTGACCTCAATGATTGCAGAAAAGACATTTGGCAAAATCCAACAGTTTATCTCAGGGATGATGAGGCTGATGAAAAAGAAAAACCCTCTAAGTAAAATAGAAGGGAACATTCTCAACATATTAAGGAACATTTCTGAAAAACTCATGATTAGCGTCATGCTCATTGTTAAATGACTGAATAAAAGCTTCCCCCCTAAGACCAGAAGCAGGACAGGGTGCCTACTTTTACCACTGCCGTTCAACATTGTACTCGAATTCCCAGTCAGAGCAGTGACACAGGAAAAAGAAGTAAAATGCATCCAAACTGGAAAAGAAGTAAAACAATTTCTCTTCACAGATAATATGATTCTAAACATAGAAGATCCCAAAGAATCTACAAGAAAACTACTAGAACTAAGAAATGAATGTAGCAAAGTTGTAGGATATAAGATCAACAGGCAAAAATCAGTTGTGTTTCTCTTTGTCACCAATGAACAGTCAGAATCAATCTGAAAGGGAAATTGAGGAAGTGATTTCCTTTACAACAGCAGCTAAAAGAATAAGATACCTAGGATTAAATTTAACCACGGAAGTGAAAAATTTATGCACTAAAAAATATGAAGCAAGTTGTGTGCTGTGGCACATGCCTGTAGTTGACTACCCAGCTACTCAGGAGGCTGAGGCGGGAGAATCACTTGAGCCTGAAGGTTTGAGACCACCCTGGGCAACATAGCAAGGCCTCATCTCTTAAAAAAGAAAAAACGGTAAATTATGAAACATTACTGAAAAAATGAAAGAAGACCTAAATAAAGGGAAAGACATTCATGTTCAGGGATAGGAAGACTTAATATTGTTAAGATGTCCATACTACCCAAAGTAATCTACAGATTCAACACAATCCCTAGCAAAATTCCAACAGCACCCCCCTTTTTTTGCAGTTCTAGAAAAGCTGATGCTCAAATTCACGTGCAGTTGCAAGGGCCCTGAGTAGCCAAAGCAATCTTTAAATGGGCCAAAATTAGAGGACTCACACTCCCCAATTTCAAAACCTACTACAGAGTTATGGTAATCAAAACACCATAGTACTTGCATAGGAATAGACATATAGACCGATGGAATGGGACTGAATCCAGAAGTAAACCCATACAACTGTAGCCAATTGATTTTTGACCAGGGAACCACATTTATTCAGTGGCAAAAGATAGTTTCTGCACCAAATGGGACTAGATTTCTGCATACAGAAGAACAAAGTTAGAGCCTTACCTTACACCACATACAAAAAATCAATCTGAATATAAGAATTAAAATAATAAGACTCTTAGAAGAAAACACGGGGGTAAATCTTTATGACCTTGGATTTAACAGTGGATTCTTAGATGTGTCACCAAAGGCACAGGCAGCAAAAGAAATACAGACACATTTGACTTCATCGTACATAAAAGTGTCATGCATCAATGGGTACTGTCGAGAAACTGAAAGGACAGTCTACAGGCTTGGAGAAAACATTTGCAAATTATGAATTTGATATAGTTTTAATTTCTAGAACATGTAAAGAACTACATCTCAGCCTGGCATAGCGGCTCATGCCTGTAATCCTAGCACTTTGGGAGGCCGAGGTGAGCGGATCACTTGTGGTCAGAAGTTGGAGACCAGCTTGGCCAATATGGTGAAACCCCATCTCTATTAAAAATACAAAAATTATCTGGAAGTGGCTTGAACATGGGAGGCGGAGGTTGCAGTGAGCTGCGATGATGCCACTGCACTCCAGCCTGAGCAACAGAGCGAGATGCCATCCTCCATCCCCCTCAAAAGAATTACAACTCAACAAGCAGACAGTCCAGTTAGAAAATAGGCGAAGGGTTTGAATAGGGATTTCTCAAAAGAAGATAAGCACATGAAAACATGCTCAAAACATTCTTAGTCTTTAGTGTGATGCAATTAAAACCCTTCAGACTTGCTAGGATGGCTTTAATTAAAAACAAAATAGAAACTAAGTGTTGGTGAGGATGTGGAGAAATCGGACCCTTATACCTAGCTATGAATGGTCGCATTGTAAAATAGTGGGCCTACTATGGAAAACAGTTCAACTGTTTCTTAAAAGGTTAAACGTAGAATTAATATATGACCCAGCAGTGTCACTCCTAGGTATGTACTCCAAAGAATTGAAAACATGGACACAAGCAGATACACATACACAAATGTTCATTGCAGCGATAGCCCAAAGATAGAAACCCAAGTTGTCCATTAACACGTGAATGGATACACACAACATTGGATGTATGCACAATTTAATATTATTCAACCACGAGACGGAATGAAGTTCTGATATATGCTACGGCATGATGAACCCTGAAAGCATTATGCTAAATGAAATAAGCCAGACACGAAAGGACAAATGTTGTATGATCCCACTTACGTGAAATATCTAGGGTGGGCAAATGCATGGGGAGAAAAAGGAGATTATAGGTTACCAGCGACAGGGTGAAGGGAGGAATGGGGAGTTTCAGGTGATGAAAATGCTTTAGAAATGGTGATGATAGTTATACAACATTGTGAATGTAATAAATGTCTCCGAAATGTAAAACAAAAATTAAAGAGCTTTGTTAAAATGAATATTGAAGACACTGGGAGAAAATATTCACATTTGTTTGGTAAAGGATTAATATCCAGCATATACGTATTTTTTACAGCTCAGTAATAAAGACAAACAACTAACTTTTAAACTGGGCAAAAGATTTGAACAGATACTTCAAAAAAGAAGATAGGAATGACCAAAAAGTACGTTAAAAGTATTGAACATCATGAGTCACAAGGGAAGTGCCAATGTGAATTACAATAGGGTACATTAAGTGCAGCCACCAAAATTTAAAAGATGAAAATCACTAAAATTTGGCAAGGATGTTGAACAGCTGAGTTCTCATACGTCGTTGCCGGGAATTGGGGTTTTCACCCACTTTGGTAAAAGGTGTGGCAGTTTCTTATTGTAGTAAACATACACTCGTCCAATAATCCAGCCATTCTACTCATTTGCTAAGAGAAGTTTATCAAAATTAGTCACAAAAAGGCTCGTATAAGCCTGTTTATGGCTATTTTAACCATAATCGCCAAAAATTAGAAATAGCCCACGTGTTTATCTGTAGAAGAATGGACAAAGTGGAATTTATCCACAAAATGGGCTATTATTTGATGATTTAAAGGAATGAACTACTGATGTAAGCAGTAACAGGAATTTATTTTAGCAATATTATGCTCAGTAAAAGAAGCATTGCACAAAAACCCATGCAAGATGTGATTTTATTTACACGAATCCCTGGAAATAATCTG